GCTGCTCCCCCTTGTTTCTGGGGGAAAATCTACAGGCCCTCGGTGCCCATCCCCCTGCCCCAGTGACAGCCCTGTCCCACACAGGAGCCTGGGGCAGCTAGCTACCTTTACGGTCATCACTGTCTTTAGAAACCCTTTGTATTGAGATTATCAGACACTCACATGCAGTTGTAAGCAATAGTCCAGGACCAGTATACCCTTCACCTGGTTTCCCCCAAAGGTAACACCTTGCAAACCTATAGTATTAATGTCACAAACCAGGCAACTAACATCGATACGATCCACCCACCTTATTCGGATTTCCGTGGCTTTACCTGAACTTTTGTGTGTGTGTGTGCACTTAGTTCCACGCAATCTTATCACGTGAGCAGACTGCTGTGTGCACCACCCCAGGCAGGACACAGACCCGCTCCGCACGAGGACCCCTCCTGCTACCCTTTACAGCCACAGCCGCCTCCCTCCCCTTCCCCAACTCCTGGTAGCATGCATCAGTCCTCTCTTTCTAGAATTCTGCCATTTTGATAAAGTTCTATAAATGGAATCAGGCAGGTGTTTAATGCATCGTAATTCCCACCATCATCCTTTAGGATCTGAAAGTGGACTGATGACAGTGTGGGCTTGGGGCCAGAGACCTGGCTGGAGTTTCCAGATCCTTTTGTCTGAGTCTCCATTATCTCATCCAGAACATGAGAATACAGCGCTTGCAGGGATGGAGGGCAGTAGGCTTTTCTGCTATGAATACCAGCAGTGTTCACCCACTGTGCACATTAATGGCCCAGCTGCTTTAGGTGGGTCACAACTGTGGTCTGCTTTAACAGCCTAGCCTGCCTGTGAAGTATGTTCTATTCTTCCCAGCACTCAGATGGTGATGGTGGGAGCAAACGGTGGAACCAGGACTCACATCCCAGGGTGTCCGGTGGCACGGTTTCTATTGGACAGGGAGGAGCCCAAGGCTCAGAGCACTGAGGGGACTTGTCCCAGGGACACAGCTAATTTGTGGCCAAGCCCGCAGCAGAGCCTGAGCCTCCCCACCCCTCCCCCAGCACTGGTTCATCTGTGCCCCTCGGCCTCAGGGGGACACCCGGAGCCTTCTCAAGCGTCTCCTCAGCAGCAGGGGGCTTTTCTGCTACTTAGGAGATGTGGAGTACCTCGGTGGTGTCTGTCACTGTGGGAGCCCGGCAGGCTGGAGTCAGTCCCGACTCAGCCACTCACCAGCTGAGAACCTGAGGTAAATTGTTGAACCTGTACATTTCTCAGTGTCTAAGGCTAAGGAGGGATTAAAATGAATCAATTCGTATGGAGCTCAGACAGTGCCTGGCACACAGTATGTGATCAGTAAATGTGAGTCGTTATTAACCATGTGATGGTTTCTTTATCCCCAGAGCTAGGCTGCCAGTGCCCTGCCTGGCTCTGGGGATGGAGAGTGCGGTGCACTCTTGGGCAAGTTACCTAACCTCTCTGTACCTAGGGCGGTTGTGTAGATTAAATAGGTTGATGCTCACAGAATGCCTGCATCAGTACCTGTCAGACCGAGCTTGACCAGCTCGTTCTTATTACTACCCCTCCCCCAGCACAGCCCACCACCCAGAAGGCTAGTCTTACAAGTTAGATCAGTTTCCATCACCTGGTCGGGAGTGGGGGTGCTACCTGACCTGTCCTCCTGGGACCACAGCTCAAACTGTCCTGGTTCTGACCTTCAACCTCCCTCATCTCAACCAATTCAATAATAGTCTCTCACCTCTACCTTCCTACCCAGCCTCCATGCAAATCCTAGAGTCTGCCAACCAGCTCCGGTGGTCTGTTCCAAATTCCTTAATGACCCGAAGTCCCAGTGGGGCTTTCAGGGTCCTTACCAGCCTCTTAATCTTGTGCGCAGCCTTATGGGGCAGCAGGCCTGAAATCCATGTCTCAGTCTTTGATGCCTCCACGGTCCCGCCGCACCTGCTGTTCCCTCCACCTGGAAAGCCTGCTTCCTCCCCCCCCCCCTTGTCTAACCTCAGTGTAAGGGTCTCCTCCTCCAGGAAGCCTTTCCTGACTCCCTGAAGTGGCCCTAGGAATTCCTTCCCCTACACTCCTATCGCCTGGACTATCCCATTGTAATGATCCACTGTGGTCTCTCCCACTGACCCATGAGCCACTGGGGAGAGACAAGCTCTTTCCAGGCCATGTCCCTGCTGCCTGGGCAAAGTACCGATGTGCAGTGGTTGCCCATCTATGTCTGTGGAATCACTGATGGGGCGGGTGGGACCTGCCCACGCTTCTGCACGTGACCACGCCTCCTTTAATCCTGTCACTCATGCCCTTCCTCAAGAAGCCTTGATGGCCCCCTTCCCACTGGAAGGTTAAGTCCAAACTCAGGGCCCTCATGCTACCACTGCTTGCTCTCTCTGGAATATCCTCTCTTCCTCTTTGTTCAGCTAGCTAATACTCAGGACTGACCTCCTCAGGGAAGGCCAGGCCCTCAGATCAAGCCAAGTTCCACACGATGCGATCTCCTAGTACCTTTCCCCCCTCCTCGATCGGAACGATTACAACTGTAATTAAATAATTCTATAATTTATAACAACATCCTGGAACGTATAAATGTGGTCTTATTTGGAAAAAGGGTCTTTGTAGATGTGGTTAAGTTAAGGATCTTGAGGTGGGATAATCCTGGATTAGCTCAGTGGGTCCTAAATCCACAGACCAGAGTCTTTATAAAAGAGGAGGCATAGGAGCACCTGGGTAGTTCAGCGGGTTAGGTGTCCAGCTCTTGGTTTTGGTGTAGGTCATGGTCCCAGGGTTGTGGGACTGAGCTCCACGTCGGGCTCCACGCTGGGTGTGGAAGCTGCTTGGGATTCTCTCTCTCCTTCCCTCTCTGTTCTCCCCCTGCACCCCACTCCACTCACATGCTTGCTCTCTCTCTCTCAAAGATAAATACGTAAAAAAATTAAAGTAAGTAAATAAATAAATAAAAGCGGATGTGCAGACAGAGGAGAGAGGGCCTCGTGAAGGCAGAAGCCGAGAACTGAGTGACGTGGCCACAAGTCTAGGAGCACCTGGAGTCCCTAGAAGCTGAGGGAGGCAGGGAAGAATTTCCCCCTCAGAGCTTCTAGAGGGAACACGCCCCTGCCAATCGCTGGACTTGGGACTTTTGCCCTTCAATATCACAAGAGCACAAATTTCTGTTGTTTTAAGCTTCCTGGTCTATGGTAATGTGGCAGTCTTCAGAAAGTAACACAGATACATATATACTAACTTATTTAATCCCCACCCAAACCCATGAGGTTGTTACTATTTTAAGCTCCATTTTACAGATAAGGAAACTGAGGAAAGCAAAGGGTCAATAACTTGCCTAAGGCCATCAGCTGGTAAGTGGCCAAGCTGGGAACCCCCACCTCCCGTGCCCTCGCCCCAGACAGCCTGGCTCCAGCAGAGGCGGGTTAACAGGCAGTCACTGCTGTTCTCCTCCCCATCTGGAAAGCAACAGGTGCCCCTTCCCCAAGACCCTCAAATGTGGATGGCCTGTCGAGGGGATGGTGGCTTTGAGACCTGGGCACACACACCACAGGTGCCCCGGTACTTGGAAGGCTGCTCTGGAGCCAGTCGGACTCTTGGTTCCCATGCTGCGGCTTGCTGTGTGTTCTGGGCCCCAGGGCCTCCTCATCCCTAATGAAGAGAAAGGGATGGTACCTGCCTCTTGGGTGGTCCTGAGCTGGGCAGTGTCCATGCGGAGCCTCTCTACTGAGAGGCAGAAGAAGCTGACCAGGACATTTAAAATAGGCACATCCGACAGTGGTCCCACAGACCACCGTTCCTGGTGAGACAGTCTCAGGATCAACTCCAAAGTCTTTCCCCACAGCCTACAGATCTCACACGTCCTGGCTGGCCTCTGCCCACCTGCCCATCTCCATCCTTGCCATTCTCCTCCTCACCTCTCTGTAGCCCAGAGATGCCCCTCTTCTTTAGATTCTCCAATATGCCACATTTTCCTCCAATCAAGCTGCTTATGTGAATGCTCTTCCCTTTCTTTTCTTTGCTGGAATATAAGCTCTCCAGGAGGGGCGGGGGCCTTCTTTCTGTTCGCTGCGGTATCCCTAGATCTTAATGGCTCCCTGGTACATAGTAGGTGCCCAATAAATATTTGTGGAATGGAACCGAATGAACGGATCTTTGCCTTGCTAAATCCTACCCTCCCTTCAAGCCTCCGCTGGACATCAGATCATTCATTCCACTATTTTTGGTGACAGGATGATTTTTTGCCTCGTGATAAGACTCCTGGCTCTGCCACTTGCTAGCTGTGTCGCTTTCAACATTTCCGTTAACCTGTGACCCTGAGATTTCCGTCGGCACAAAGGGGAGAATACAGAACCGTCGGCAGTTGCGTCTTCCCTGACCACGACCGATGGCCTGGGATGGCCACAGTCCCAGGTGAGGGCAGGGATGAGCCTCCTGGGGCCTTTAGCCCTTGCTGGAGCCGGCAAACTCCTCCCCAGGGCCGCTCCGACCCGGCGGGCGCCACGACCCCGGGCGACACAGGGCGCTCAGCCGCGGGACCCCGGCCCTTCCCGGCGCTGGCTGCGCGGCCAAGTGCGCACGCTCAGGCCTCCCCGCACCTCCTCTGGCTGCAGCCGAACCGCTCCCGGCCTCGGCCTCGGGCGGGGGCGGGGGCGGGGCGAGCCCCTCGTCTTCCCCCTGACTGGCAGGAGGACGGGCCAATCGGAGGGGCGACCCGGGGAGGGGCGGGGCCGCGCCGCGAGCCGGGCGCCGGGCGGGAGCAGGAGCTGCAGCCGGGAGCGTGCGGCAGGCGCCTGCCGGCTGCCCCGAGCGCGGTCACCGGCGCCGCCGCACCTCGACCCCCGCCCGCCGAGCCGCGCGCGCGTCTGTCCGGCTTCCTCGGTTGCTTCTTACGATTTTTCTTTCTCTCTCTCTTTTTTTTTTTTTTTTGCACGCAACCTTTTTATGTTCCGTTTTGTCCTTTTTAAGGCGGGGGCGGCGGCAGCGTAAGCTCGGGGCGGGGAGGGGGCGGCCGGAGGATGCGGCGCGGAGCTGCGCTCGCTACGTCCGCAGCTGCTGCCCGGCTCGGGCCTGAGCGCGGAGCAGGTGCGTACAGGTGCGCCGGGTGGGGTGGGGGGGAGCGGGAGGCGCGCCCTGGCCGAAGGGGACCCGCGGACCCAGCGACCGATGGGCGGACCCCGCGGCAGGGGACACGGTGACCGGTGCCGCCCCGCCCCATCGCCCACCTCGCCCTCTTCCAGCCTTCTCGCCCCTCCAGATCCCCTGCCGCTCTCTCGTCTCACCTCTGTGGTCCCCCACCCTTCCGTTCCCATCCCCCATTCCCCTCCAAATTCCCCTGCAGTGTCTCCCAGCAGGAGGACTCTGCGTCGCCTCCCTCCATAGGCCCCCTCCCCGTTCTGCCCCCAGTTCCCCTCTCTCCCTCACGCCACCCCCATTTCCACTCCTCTCCCCATTCCGCCCCCGAGCCAAGGAGGGGGAGGGGGAGGGGGACCCACCGGCTGCCTCCAGGGAGTGGCGCGGGGGGCGTGGCCGGCCGGTTCCCTCGGAGTCCTACCCTCTGAGTAAGTCAGGGTTCCCCCAGGTCCCTGCCGAGGTGGCACAGAGGTTGGAGCCCAGGGCCGCTCCGGGGCGGCGGGGGGGCCGCCCTGCCTGCACCCTCGCCCCACGCACAGCACCCGCCGAGGCGGCCCCTGCCACGCACATCCCGCGCTGCTCCGCCCACGTGGGCTCCGGGAGGAGGCTGAAGCGCTGGGAAGAAAGGCTGGTACCCACCCTCCTAACCCCGCCGGAGCGCCCTGGACGCACGCAGCCTCCGGAGATGGCGCACAGGGACTGGCTCCGCGGGGCGGGGCACCTTGCCTGGACACCCTGCGCTCAGGCCCCGGCCTGTTGGCCAGTGTTAGTGCCCATGCCCTCGTCCCCAGCCCCCTGCCCCGTCACTCCATCACCACCCTCCCTGCTGCGGGCTCTTGAGGATCCGGCCTCGTCATCCCTGATGGAGGCCACTTGCCAGGCTGGAGTCTTCTGCCATAGAAGCATCCCCCCCTCCCACACACACCACCCCTACACCACCACCCCTCCCCACACACCGTAGTCTGCATTTCTCCTGATGGCTTGGCCGGCCTGGGCTCTCTGCCCGCCTCTGCCCGGCTCTGGTCCTGCGCCACCCCCACCCTTTCCACGCACACTCACGGGCACACTGTCCTTGGCCTTTGCTTGTGCTGTTCCCTCTCTGGGAACGAACGCCCTTCCTTCAACTGGCCAGCTCCTTCTCCACTAAGGTCAGGAAGAACCCCTTGCCCCGTCTGAGCTTCCTTGTATGGTAGAGCAGGACACACTGTTGTCCTGTCTGATGGTCTCAGCCTCCCAGGCCCATGAGTTTTGGAAGGGCAGGGGCAGCCTCAGCCCTTCACACAGGGCTCTGATCACAGTAAATATCCCACCGGAGGGGGGCCCTCCCTGCTAACAGAGTGACCGGCTGGTGTAGAGTGAGTCTGGTTTCTCCTCCACACCTTGGGCAGGTGGGTGGCACTTCCATGAGCCCAAATGGGCAGAGATGGTTTGGGGATGGCACGGGGTGGTCAGGACCCCTCTCCGACGCTTGCCCAGCAGGGCGACTTCCAGGAGATCTGCTGCTCTAAGAGAGGTCTTCCAGACAGGGCATGATTGGGAAGTGTTTGTTGTTGAGACTCTTGCACGTGGTCTGTAATGCTGACCATCTCTCCAGAGCTTGGGGGTAACTCCCACCTTGAGAGCGCGGACCCAACAAATGCGATTGTTGCCATTGTCTTTCACAAACCATCCTTAGCCCCCCCTTGCCTCGGTGACCTCACATGGTTCTTCACATCCTGGCTTCCCTGTCCCACTGTCTCAGCCTCATGTGCTACCTCTGTGTTCCCTGGACCTGTCTTCACACCTAGGCTTCTCCCCACATTTTTGGTTTTCCTGGGAAATGTGCCTCTCTCTTGTCTGCCTGGAGAACTCCTATTCATATGTGAAGGCCCAGGTCTCCTGTGACGTCTTGGTGGTGTTTCCTGACTTTGCCAAACAGATTGTGGATTCTCTCGTCTGTGCTCTTACAACATATATCCATGTATAGTTTCATATGTGTGTAGTTTTTCCTTAAGCAGACCTTGCCCACCGGAGAGTGGGGTCACAGTGAGGTCTGAGGGGGAGCCCTGCTTGGACGGGGGCTCCACCTTCCTGGGGAGGTGGTCATGCCCGCAGCGATCGTGCCAGGCGCTATAAGAGGGACATGCATAGGGAGGGACAGAGCTTGACAGTCTCCTTAGCCTGGCCAGAAGATTTCACAATGAGGAGGCAGGATGGAAGCCCCACTCTGTTAGTGTCAAGGGTCGGTTGGGGCCGGGAGATAAGTGGCAGAAGGAATAATTGCCGAGCAAGGTGTCTGCCAGCATGAGAATGGGACCTGCCTCTCTGCAGGCTCTGGAGCCAGGCTGCGTGGCGTCCACTGGGGCCCTGCCCCTTCCCCAGCTGGGACTGAGGAAGTGCCTCCCACCTGGGCTTTGTAACCAAAATGGGGTGCCTCCCTCAGAAAGATTGGGGATGACTACGCCGTGTTCTGGGGCTCCTCGCTTGGTCTCCTTGGGGTGTTTGAGTCGACTTGCGGGGGCTCCTGAAGTCGATTCACCTTTGTCCTGTTCCTTAAGGCTGTGTGATCTCAGGCCACAGGATTAACCTTTCTGAGCCTCCATTTCCTGTACGACTGGGGGCAGTGGTCCTCTGGCCGGCCTGGTGTGGGCATCAGAGTGTGGTCTCTGGGCACAGGCACCACTGAGTAAGTGGTCATGATGATGAGGGAGTGTGTGGTTCAAAAATTAGTCCTTCAGTTTTGTCCCAGAGCAGCCACCCCAGTTAGAGGCCCTCCGTGTCCCTCCCCAGCTAACAACAGCAGGCCAATAAGCTAAATATTCCATAAATGGGAGTGAGAGATGGAGGGAGTGGGTGCGTGTTGGCTAATGGGAGTTGTGCACACTTGTGTGAGAAGGTGCCGAGGGATGCGGGCAGGAGTCCTGAGCTCATGGTGCACTAGTAAAGGCCACCCACCTGCCCCGAGCAGCTCCTTTGATGCTTCTGTCATCTGAGCTTCTTTCCTGCTCAGTGGTGACAGTGATTTCCACCCAGTTCCTAAGAAGACTCCTACCCCCTTAAAGGAACAAACCATCAGCACCAGCTAGGTGAGCTCAGCTGTGAAGGAACAGGGCTGGAACAGGGCTGGGTCAGAGGGGCTGCATTTTTTGAGGACCAGCTCAGACCCTCCTGGCTGTGCAACCTTGGGCAAGGCGCTTAACAGCTTGATGGCCCGGTTCCTTTTCCTGGGATGCTCACATGAGGAATAGAGCTATTGTTGCTTAACCTCCCACTCCTGCTGGAATTCTCTTGCTGAAGCTGCCGAGAATCTCTTTAGGGAAGGGCTTATGTGAGCACCTGACAAGCAGAGACTGAGCCTGGAGGTGGAGGTGGAGGGAGGCAGAGGTGGGATTCGCCAGCGGGGGTCCCACGCTCTAGAACTTAGGTGTTGCTCCATGGAACATGCTGATCCCTGTAATGGAAAGTCAACCTTCCTACAGGGCCCATGTGAGGAATCAATCAGAGGAGGCTTCTCAGTGCTTTTGATCGAAACCCGTTACCTTGAAGCCAGTAGAAACCATTTGTGTTGCTGTGATCTGAGGTTCAGGAAAGGACTCCGGGGCCAGCCAGCGGTGGGACCTTGCTTGTCATTGTCCCTCTAGCCCTGAACACTGTCAGAAAATGTTTTCTTTACTCTAGCCTTTCCAAGGCCAGGTGGACAGCCCAGAGACCATGGGCCCGTGGGGGAGGGGCAGGAACAAGGAGGTGGGGGGGTAGGGTGGGGGCGCTGGGAGCCTCAGGCTGTGAAGCAGGGATTAGGAGCCCCTTCCTGTAGGAGGTAGGAGGGGAAGAGCTTGCGGAGAGTGGCCAGGGCTGGTCCAGCATGACCCGAAAGCAGCAGAGTGAGGGCGGGGCCCCCTCTCCAGCGGGCACTGAGGTTCTGCTCTTGCCTTCCTATTAGTATTTATTTTTGGAACTGCAACAGGAAGTATTTTACCTCTCATTCATCTCTAGAAATGAATTAAGATAAATGCCATTTTTCTTGATTGTAGCAGTTAACATTTGTTAAGCACCTACCAAGGGCCAGGGTGTATGCCAGGGGTCGGCAAGCCCCGGCCCTATCAGCTAGCCACCTGCTTCCGTAAATAAAGTTTTATTGGTACCCAGCCCTGACTGTTGGCACACCTGTTGTCTGTGGCTGCTTTCCTGCTGTGTTGACAGAGTGGCACAGCTGTGGCCGGCACCTGTAAAGCCAGAAACCCTCACTACCTGGCCCTTTGCAGCCGGAGTTTGCCGCGCCCTGGTCTGCGCTGTCCCTGATTTGGGTTCATTCAGTTCCGGACACAAGCCCAGAGGGAGGTGCCTTGTGTTTCTCACTTTACAGGTGGGTACAGACAACCTCTGAAGCCTGCCGCTGGGTCACAGAGCTGGTAAGTGGGGAGCAGGGATCTGCACCCAAGCAGCCCGCATTATTACTTTTCTCGGGGGGGATTTATGTATTTTTAATTAGCTTCTAATTGAATTTTCCCATGTTTAGAGAATATGGTCTGTATGATATCTATTTTTAAAAATTTACTGACAGGGTGCCTGGGTGGCTCAGTTGGTTAAGCGACTGCCTTCGGCTCAGGTCATGATCCTGGAGTCCCGGGATCGAGTCCCACATCGGGCTCCCTCCTCGGCAGGGAGTCTGCTTCTCCCTCTGACCCTCTTCCCTCTCGTGCTCTCTATCTCTCATTCTCTCTCTCTCTCAAATAAATAAATAAAATCTTTAAAAAAATTTACTGACAATTTTTTTAAAGATTTATTTATTTCAGAGAGACAGAGAGAGCGTTTCCATGTGTGGGGTGAAAGAGGGGCAGAGGGAGAGGGAGAGAGAGAGAATCTCAAGCCGACTCCCCGCTGAGTGTGGAGCTGATGTAGGGCTCCAGCCCATGACCCTGAGATCATGACCTGAGCCGAAATCGAGAGGGGGCTGCTTAACCAACTGAACACCC